TTATATATCACCAAATGAGAGTTTTTTTTATTTAAATAAGTGCTTTGTAAGCAAACCATACAATTAACTTCAATGGCTGTTTACAAATTTGGGAATACTGTTAATTAAACTTAATTACTACGTGACCACCCTTGAAACACAAACTTTTCTACAAAAAAAAAGGGGTATGTGGTCAAATGTTATCTGATGAATTGATAACAGTCCGCCTTTTTTTGAAGTCGACCAAAAACGAGCTTTATATTACTCAAATGCGAACAAAAATGTATTTGAGTTAATTTCGAACAAAAGAAGGTAACATAAATAGAATAAAGAGAATTTATTCTTGGACAATCGCCTTTAAAATTTATTTTACTTACTACACAATTTGCTGAAAAAAATAAGACTAACATTAAATGCTTATGTATAAAAACTAAACGCATATGTGCACACGCACGCAACTGCACACAAGGAATTGTGTAAGTAAAACGCTCTGAGCATTGCTGTTCCATTGCACCTATGCAGTGATATAGCAGTACTTTATTAAAAAATTCTGCGTTTACTAACCCACTACATCCCTGCCAATTACACAGAGAAGTAATAACTACGGCGCCTTAAGCATTTTAATTTTTTTTACTATCTCAAAGCAGTTTTATATCTTCGAACTTATGACAAATTTACTCAATCAAAAGTTATCCTACATTTTTCACTCTAAACCCAGACTTATCTTTTCGCTTCAAAAAGCTTTACTACTGCCTGCAGCAGCTGCGAATATATATTTTTTAACCGACTCCCAAAAAAGGAGGAATATTTTTTTTTTTTTTTTTTTTTTTAGGTATGTTACCGCATAACTTTGGACCACGTCAACCGGTTTCGATAATTCTTTTTGCATCGGAAAGGTAGTATCTCAGAGGTGGTCCCATACTAATCTGGTTGAGATCCGATCAGTGGATCATGAGATATATATATATATATATTTTTTTTTATATGGGAGTTGAAGTCGGTTTTTTTTTGCTCAAAAATTACTTGTATATGTACATATGTACATATTTACATTATACACAGTTGTTTATTCGTTTCAATATACAATTGTAACAACTATGTATAACAAATTTTGATTACTTTTTTGTTGGAAAAAATTTTTGATTACGACGCCAGAGAGAAGGGCAAATTATTCTAGCCAGTTTCACAAAAGCAATTTAAGTGAAAAATTATATTTTTGTTGTTTTGATATGAAAAAAACTAACAGAAGGTAAAAAATAAGTTTTCGCTTATATTTGCTGGTGAAACCGGCAGCTAAAGTAAAATATGTTTATGGTTTTATAGAAAATATTTTACCCAGTGATACGAATACATATTTAGTAGTATAACTGGCACATTGAAAATCTATATCTGCCTTCTCTGATTATTATACACTCTTGCAATCTCAGGAATATACTTGCAAAGCAAGAGGACAGTTAGACACATCTGGTATACTGGACTGTATTGCAAGAGCCCAGCATGTTTATTACAAGGAAAGGTCGGTGAATACCACCCTGCTGACATTGGTAAAGAGGATAGAGGAAACCTTCACGCGCCAAGACTACTTATGGTTGGGGCCTTCAACAATGTCACTCCAGAGGCAATAGTTAAGTCTATTCATAAGCGAGGGGTTGAAACCAACCTAATAAGGCTTATCTACAGCTTATTGCGTGACAGAACTGTCGTGGCGTAGTGCGGAAGCGCAGAGTCAATAGGGGCACTCCGCAAGGTGGTGGTCTCTCTCTCCTCAGGAAAAAGTGGGAATTGGGAAAATCGGATGATTAACTGGTTCGTAAGCTGAATACTATGGAGTCGGGAGGGCTTTGACTTCGTCACTTAACACGTGGATTACAGTGTCTCCGAAATGGCTCCCAGTAGCTCCTTTGCTACATATATGCCCTCAAGAGAGGACTGGGTATGATGCGGGGTTACTGGAAGAAGGGAGCGGTAAACTTCTTCGCGGATGGATTAAAACTTGGTGGTGGTGTCTTCTATCGGAATACCTCCATTAAAGCTATGTTGAGGCTTCCGGACTTCTGCAGTGTCTTTCAGTTGGAAATACCTGCCATCAAGGAAGCTGTAGACTCATTGCTGAAGAATGTGACGTCTGTTAGGACCCTACACGCTATGTATTGCGCTCAAAATCGCTAAAGGAATCTTTGGCCTCTCTATCAATCGCGTCGGATTACTTCTGGCTTGGACCGCCCCCAATCAAAGGACCTCCTTATGCTTGAATAAACTCAGATCCCGCTGGTTCTGACAGGCCATTGTATCAGCCAATTTGTATCAGCTGTAAATAGGTGAGGTGGAATCATATCCACACTTTCTTTTAGAATGTCCAGCCTTCGCGTGGCTAAGGTGGAAACATTTTGGCTCGCACTTCTTAAGTAACCGTGAGCTCTCAAGCATCGAAATCGGCCGCGTTCGTAATTCCGTGATCAGCTCGCGGCGACTCGCCAACCAAATTAATGGTCTCTGTTGTGCTTTTTGTGGTATCACAAAGGATATTCTCTTAATTGTCTACGTTATGAATGCCATATGTCGAACAGGAGGCAGACACTCCTCACACTGAAAGCGCACGAAGTCATTTCAAAGTTGGTGTACGATGCATTTAGCTTTTAAATAATACTCATCGCATACAGGAACCGGGTTTACCGGGCCATGTGTCTCGCTAGAGAAACGGCTGCATGGGATTCATTGACCTACGATGGATCTCTGTTAGACAATGTTACTATATCTTGGTGAAGAAGGAAGCGAAAAATTGAGGGATACACACGGAAAGTAACAGACACGCTAGGTACTTCGCCAGGAAAATTTTAGCAACGAGAACCGAAGCGCTCCAACACTTTCTAAGAACGTAGTATTAATTGTCACTGGCTTTCTTACCGAACAAATTATGTGACACTGAGAACCACTGCACTTACCTTCCTAAAATCATCGTACACAACCTTAATAGTATTTAGCCTGTTATTATGCTGATTAGTTAGAACATTGAAACTAACTAAGAAGATGAGGAAATTTGGCGTCCGGAAATGACTTCAGCTCAGATCCCGCGGCTTAAGTTAAGGTAAATAAATACCAATGGCTGCATTGGGGCTTCGGTCCGTTTTTAAGCCTTCTAATGTTATAAATGTAAAATTTTGCGAGAGAGAGTGCTGCTATTTCACGCTAAAATCGTGTTATTAATTCCAATTAAAATCGCTACACAAATAGACTATAGCCCGATTATTATACATACGTATGGATATTTTTTTTAAGTTTTGGCCACCTTTTTCAAAAGCTAGAATAAATAAATTAATAATTTAAATTGAATATCAGAACAATGTGGGAGTTCACAATCGTTTTATTTCGAAAATATTTTCGTATCGGGTTGCCACCTATTCAAAAAATTTAAATAATTGTAATTGGCAAGTTTAATCAAATGTTTTTATATGGGTATCAAGAGAGAGGTTTAAGAAGTTTTATTTGCACAATATCTTTGACGAGGGTTGCCAGCTGTTTAGAAATTTAAATAAATTTAAGTAACAAGTTTAATGAAATATTTTAATAAGGATGTCAAACTATATAAGTTTACGAAAGCTTTAAGAGGGTTGCCACCTGTATAGAAATTCTGAATTGATTGAATAAACAAGTTATATGAAATATTTTAATATGGTTATCAAACGTTAAAGCTTTATAAAGCTTTTTGAAAAACATTTTTTTAAAGGGTTGCCACCTATTTAATATAATACAACATAATACAACGATTCTGTTTTCGAAAGAAAATAAATTAATTTGTCGAAAAGTTTTCCTGATTGAAAAAAGAAAGTTTGGGTATTTTCTCGAAAAAACCCATCTTGTAATAAATAACATCATTGCCTTAAATAATTACTTGCTATGTGCTAACGGAAAAGCATTCTTGCTCGAGAATCGCTTAAAATGATAAAATGAACAATTTAAATTTTCACTGAAATTAATTTTTTTATTTTCAATTCACCATTTCATAGAACGAGTATTTTTGCCAGGAAATTAGGAAATTTTTTATTTAATTTGTTTTATTTTTTATTTTTTGACGAACCTATGGGTGCCTTTTTTTACCATTTACGGTGGCACTCGGCAATGAACATTTTTTTTTTAATAGTTCTACTTGTTTAGCAAAAGTTTGAGGATTTTTGAAAAAATTTAATTTACTGACATTAGGATGGTACTTTAGGTGGATAAAAGTACTAAGTAAGTTAGGTGGATAAAGGCGGAAGTGCTAGAACGGGGTAATGTAGGTCAATGAATTATAGAACAAAAAAGCTGAAATGAAAATGGACTCTAATGCTGAAGACATGACAAAAATTCACAAAAGGCGACCTCTAGGTTCGGAAAAAAAATTGAAATTGCCTTTGAATCGAAATACATCCTTAGCAAAAGCTTAATGATTATTGGCAAGCTTTAATTTACAACGGTGCTGTCAAATGTTAGAGCTACATCTCAATCTGTTATACCTGTACTGAGGATTCTGGGATATAAATTATTTATCAGGAGAAATTTTAACTACACTTTTTGTAGATACCCTTTGTACGTAAAATAAGTAGGCCGTACCGTTTAAAAAAAGTTCGCCGTACACCTCTGAGTCTAAAGTATTTTGCAAGGCAATTTCGAAATTTTTTCCTCCCAACTTGATGGCCGCCTTTTTTTATTTTTCGTTTTTCTTCGGCGTTTATAGTAGGATCTTAAAAAATGTGTTCTTACCCCGAGGAGAGAATTTTTGTTGTCCTAAGCTTTATTGACCCTGTTTTAGTAATTACCTACCAGATCTCAGCTTCTTTCACCACGACGTATAACCCTAATGTTAAAACCGCAAAAGCTAGTCTAAGCTTCTGCGACTTTTGAAAACAAACTTTATCAATTTTGCTACTGTATCCGCCACTATAAATTTTCGATGTCGCAGATGTTACCTTAATAAATGGACTTAAATTACTTTTCATCCTGCATACATATACTAATACACACCCCTTTGCATTTGCTTGCAGCTTCCGTGCAGGCCAGCCACCATGAACTACTTTCGCTCAGTCCCTCCGATCATTCTGTGGTGCGATATACCAACAATTCGCTAATAGTCCAATGTCGTAGCTCAACATCAGAAGCGCAGTTGGTGTGGAAGTCGCCGAAGGGAGAAATAATTAAGGAGCACAAAGGACGTATACACATCGAGCAAAGCGCGCCAGGTAAGTGTGTGTGCTACCTTATTAGCGAGCGGCTTACCACATGCACGGATGCACAAAGCAGGAAGCACTTCGCACGCAGCGCAGGCCGCAACATGTGCGTGTGAATGTGTGCACTTGCTGTGACGGTAGGCGCCTTTGCTGCATACCGCTGGCTGTTATGTTAAAGTATAGTTGCATTTACTATTTAAATTCCAATTAAGCGGCGTTGTTAACACAAATCATTGCTAATTTTCTTTCATGTACCTCCTGTGACGCGCGCGCGCTCTCATCACTGACCAACAACAAACATTCGCTGGAACACCTGCTATCCGCTGCTGACTTGATGCCTGCGCGCCTTTTTGCGCGATAGAACAATTGACAATTGTTTTTCTACACATTTCACTCGGCGACAAGGGCAAGTGGACGTGCGAAGATGCCAATGGCGACAGAGCGGAAAAGTCTTTCGATCTCATTGTCTACCGTAAGTAGCTAAGCTGAGTGCGAGTGCCATTATTCGAGTTAGGTGAAGTGAAGTGTAGTGTAGAGCGTTAAAAGGCGTTGTAGGCGTTAAAGGTTAAAAGACTTTTGAGAAAATGTTATTGTCTCAAATGTGCAAAAGGCCCGTTGAGGAGTCTCACTAAAGTTTTTATTCCTATCTAGTTTGTTTTCTTTGTAATGTGTTTCTGTGAAATTATTTCTATTGTTTTTCTTTGCCTTAGAAAAAATTGCTTTCGCTGAAAATTTCACCATTCTTACGGTAAAGGAAGGCAAGGATGCATTCATACGTTGCGAAGTGAAAGGCGAACCACAACCAAATGTCACCTGGCACTACAATGGGCAGCCAATTATTGTTGAAAGTAAGTCCAATTAGTGATTTGACTGTGTATGTGAGCGGTTTACTCTATTTTCTTTGCTGTCTTCGAGAACTTCGTAAATGGAAAAGTACACAGTGAGAAATTAATATCTAATACAAACCGGGTTCTTCAAGTGCAAACAGCTCCCGGTAGGGGTAAAATTTTTGTTAACCCAGGGGAAAAGCTGTCATAGCTCCTTGTGTGTACAAATAAATATTTAAATAAAATGAACTGACTATGTATTCTGAAGTTCATTTGACGCTTTCTGAAGTGCTCTTGGAAAAGGTGTAGCTCAGCGTTATTTCAGGACCATTACAGGCCTATTTCGGAATAATTTCGGAACTAGTTTGGTATCGTTTTGGAACTTGTCTGGGATCATTTCGGAACTAGTTCGGGATAATTTTTGGTCCGTTTCAGAACCTATTTAGGACTAGTTCACGACCATTTAAGGCTAATTTTGGGACTACCTCTAGGCCATTTAGAGACTAATTCAAGACTATTTCGGGATTATATCGGGACCGTTTCGAGACGTGTTCATGACTTTTGCAGAACCATTTCGGGACTAGTTGGGGTAATTTCGTGACCATTTCGAGACTAGTTAAGGACAACTTCGGAAACATTTTGGGACTAGTTCAGCATCATTTGGTGACAAGTAGGTAGGGATAATTTCGGGACTTTTTGAGATTGTAGACTCTTTGCGAATTTTTCGCAATTTTTTTAATAGTTTTGTTCTCTTTGTCGGGAAATTTGGAATGTGGCGGAAGTCACCGATATTTTTGTGGTCCTCATGCAGTTTTTAAGCACTTTTCAATATATTTCGTGTCTAATTTTTTTCGGATTTTTTGGAGTTTTTTTTTTTTGATTTCGGCGAAAGCCTCTTATTTCGGTTAATTAGAGATACGTCAAGTTTTCCGGTATTCGAGACCTTTTACAAATCTTGAACGACGTTCAAAATTTTTCGTTTTTTTCATATACATATACATAATATTATATTATAATGAATTTTACAGGATATTTCTAAATCTTTAGATTTTTTCGGGATTTTTCATATTTCATATAATTCGGGATGCGTCGATACTTGCCGATATTTTTTGGGAGTTTTTGATATGTTGTGTCCGATTTTTCCGTATTTTCGGGATTTTTTCTGAATCCTTGACGATTTTTTCAGCACTCTTGAACATTGTGATGGAACGCTTCGGATTTTTTCGAAAACTTTTGAGCTCAAAAGTTTATTTAAATTATGAATTTTTATTTTACGAATGCCAAAAAAAAGACAAAGAGTAAAAATTTCCGGTAATTCCCTGCTTCAAAAAGCCAGACATGTTTATTTTTGCCCTGAAATAAAAAATTAGCTCTCTTTTATATTTAAAAAAATGCAGAGTCTCTTAAAAACCTTAAAATTGTTTGCACTGCAGTTAATAAAAAAAGACACTTTCTCCACAAAACTCAATTTCACTATATTGGATTTTCAGTGTGCACTTTACCAGTGATTACAACGATAAATGTACTCACAATTCGAATAGAGACAGTAAAAACAAAATTCCATCTAATACATGTGCTAAATGTACAAGTAATCTTTGCAAAATGAAAAAAAAAGAATAAATATAATTAAAACAAAAAAAAAAAACCCAAATTGTATTGTATTCTTTGTTTTTACTTTTTTTTGCAGCATTTACAGGCAACTCAACGAAATTTCAGATTCTGGCTGATGGATTACAGGTCCGCAAGGTAACGCAGAACGACACCGGCGAATATACGTGCCGCGCCTATCAAGTGAACACCATCGCTTCGGACATGCAGGAGCGCACCATTTTGATGAAAATCGAACGTGAGTAGGATGTTTACTGCCTATGCGATATGAGCAAAT